ATGTTACCTCTACGGCAGTGGCATCCATAGTCTAAAAATCCATCGCTAAAAGCTTCGAAAAAATCGGTTGCATTCATAAAAAATCCGGCCGTAGCGAAAAACAACAAAAAGAAATCAGCAGAACGGTTGCAATGCTACTTGAAGCCAATGAAACTGCCCTGCGTAGAAATTTGGGGCGTAGAAAGTAAAGAACTGAAAGTGACCGACGCACAGAAAGAACGTTAGCGCTGAATCTACTGATGCGCTTCCGGTAAATCGGCAAATAATCAGACGGCTGCTGCTAGATTTTACAGGTAAAAAATACGAAATGAGATTGTTTTGAAAGGAAGTAACGCTTAAAGTAACTATGGAGGCTAGTCAAGGAGTTGAAAGTCGACAAGAACTTATCCAAACGGTACAGCGCTACAAAGAAACAGCGAGAGAATTTCATCAAAGCGGAGAGGACTAGATTTCAAAAGCGCAGCGCCTCACATAATGAGCTACTCCACTATTTTTTGCACTAGAGAGTAACAAAGGAACGCATGCCGATATCTGAAACCAGAGTAGCGGATGACACATTAACAGAAGTGGGAAAAACGACAGTTGTTTAAATGGCACTCCACAGCTAAAACCTTTCTTTTGCTTTCACTAAAGCACAAGATATATCTTGAGTTACACGAGATAATTTTCCCTAGAATTAACTGAATCGGATCATAACCACCACCAGAAATCAGCGCTAAGACTCTTCCGTAAGAGACAAAGTTTTTACAGCAGAGCGAATCTTGACATTGGTTGGAAAAGGGACCAGGAAAGCGGCGAAGACTCTCGACGATGTCAAATAGTCTGGCTTGAAGTTAGTTTATGAAATTTCGGCGAAATATTTTCTTAACTGAGTTGAAAGTATACATTTATAAAAGGGCGTTAAAAGAATGGCCTTCTGTTATAAAAAACTGAAAATTTCATTCTTTGAAAAATTATAGGCCAAACAAAGGATGAGGAACACACACATAGATCTAGCAATTGCCAGCGGCTTATGTGACGACAGTGCAACAAATACAACGTACCAGAAACAATGTCACACAAAAGAAATGTTAAAAGATATGTGGCAGGAAAATGGATATGCCGTACAATTAAACATGAGACAAAACTAAAAAAAGTAAACGAAAACAACAATAAACTCAGTTTTTTTGCACTAACTCTTCCACTTTTCTAAAGCAGTTTGCTAACACTAGAAGTATATTTTGATAACCCTGCACATACTGATAAGCATAAGAAATTTGATGATAAACCGTGTTGTTCGTCATACCAGAATAACGAATCTTTTTCAGACTCTTTGAAATACGCCCTTATTACAAGGTCGAGACTTCTAAAACAGTTATCTCTTTTTACAGCAGTTAATCTAACGTAAGATATTGAATTGCAAACGGAAAATGGCAATTTTAAGACCAACTCTGTCTACTCTCAAGCATACTTGTCTTAATTATCGATTTCCCTTTACTTTTTGTGTGAGATTTTCGACACTGCTTTAGTCGCTCGTGATATTTTTACAGTTGCCTGTGAATTTCTTTCCATTTTTCTACCCACAACATTGCTTCGTTGGTGGGGCACAGCTCAACAGGTAATAACTAATAACTGCCTCCTGGTATTTTGCGTGCTTGAAGTCACTTTTTCTAGAGGCTGTTCCTTATTATCCGACAAACATTTCTGCTGCTGTAGTAGCGTCCACAGTTCGACAGCTTTCATAATGGAAGCCTTTAGCGAAAAAAACTGACAAAATTTTATGATCAGAAATGATCCTATCATTTTAATAAATTTAAATATGCTTGCTTTCGGCAGCTTTCCTTACCGATTTTTCCAGCCATCTTACAAACCAACAAGCCTCTCATAAACAGCAAAAAAGTTGTAGAAAAAGAATTAATTATCAGCAGACTGGAAATTAGCGAAATGTGAAAAGTGTGAAAAGTGAGTTCAGTTGGAGAGGGGTTGTGAACCTTTCAGATTTCTACAAATGCGATAACAAGACACAGCCAGTATCCATCCCGCCACGTGCCACTGAGAGCCGGTTTTTCGAAACGCTAAAACAGTCATGACAAAACTTGAACACAAAGTTGTCATAAACTTAGGAAGAAGCGAACAAACATCCTTGGAATTATCAAAGATGAACCGGACAAAGTCGAAAACCCTCTATCCGAAAAAAGGAAGGGGTTAACAGTATAAAATAAGTGTTTGACAATGGGCACGTTTAAATGCCGTAGTGCCTAAAAACTATGGTAGATAATTCCTAACTAATTTACAAAAGATTTACCTATCATTAAAAATGAACTATCTTATGTCCATTTTTCTTTGGTAATTTTCTTCGCGTAGCAAGATTTTGATCGATCGGAACATCTTCGTCTCCTCCAATATCATTTGAAACAATAATCGCCAAACGTTCTGAAAAGTGTATCTTCAGGTCACCATAAAAAATGTTGAATTTTTTCAGCGTCTTCTCCTTAATGCCAATATGAACTCTAAAATGTAGTGTCGCGATCGGCCTATGAATCAATACTATTTCCCGGCAGAAAAATTCTACAGTTCTCAAAAAATTAAGACTTACAGTTAAAAGTACTTGCAAGTTCTTTGTCTTCTGTAAGCCGATAAAAATTACTACAATTGCTCATAACTCTTTAGATAAATTTGCTCAACGTAGTGCCATTTTACGTTCCTATCGCATCATTTTAAGACGTCAAATGAGAATATGCAGTTGCCTTTCTCTTAAGCAAATATTACAATACTCTGGCAAAAACGCAAATTTAAAAACAGCGGAATTTCACCATCACAGTCCACAAATCCACAGTTTCAAGAAATTGGAAGTGCATCAGTCAACATACTAAAAATCAGATTCTCTGAAACGTCTGAGTTCCAGACTTAATTCCACAAAATCCTCGAGCGGTGAAAAAACTGAGCATTGAAGTTAAAGAAAAATTCAGGGCTATACTGGCTGCTGTAGTCATACACTAATAGATACGATTGCTGTATGAGTTATCAAGATAACCCTGTTGGAAAATGAAGAGCTACAATCACGAAATTGGTGAACCACAGAAACAGTGGGAGCAAAACTGCCCAGAGCCCTTATCAAGAGTCTTTAATAGCGTGATTCTTTGAAGTATCAAACAGCGTATCCAGAAATTACCTTTAAGCAAGTACCATTTCGTCACTTAATTCCGCTATTGTTTCTCTTCACCCACTCTTCAAAAAATTATTCTAATGGCTGCACCATGCACGACGATCGTGATTGCTTGAGCCAAAATATTGTAAAAACTTCCAATATCTCCTCTGTACCCTTATTCTCTCACTTGCTGGATCTTGGTTAGCTCCAACTAAGAACTGCCCAAATAACTACTGCAGCGCAATAAAAAAAAATCTTTTTTCATAGAACTCCTTTTTACGAAAAGGTTCCTCAATAAAACTTATGATTCTACTTTAAAAAAGCGCGTACGTCTAGCTGTACACTTTGAGCAAGTTCTAATTATCTGGTCAAAATTTTGACTTTTCTTGAAAGGATTTATAAGATACGATTGAAGAGGAAGTTTTTTGCAATCCCATTTGTAACTGTTGACCGCTAAAGAGCTTGATCTTAAGATAAACAGGATGAGGTAAAGAACATGTTGTAAAAAGTAGATGTATTAAAGCTACATGTTTAACACATGTCTAGATAAACAATTATTTCATAACGATCAAACTAAGGAGCTTCAATCCATGTACTTACAATTAAAAAAAATATGTCAGTTTAGAGCTGAGGGATAATACAGAATTCTTTTACGAAAGCGATAGTCCAGTTTTGGTTGCGAAGAGATTTGAGTAGAATTTTTTTGGGAAAGGCAGGAACTTAAAAAGAATACCCAGTAAAACTGTTCTACATTGAAATGCATTGGAAGCAATATATTAAACACACAACATATGGTAAGGGTAGTGAGGAAAACTGCGATCACTGCAACAATCAATAAAAGCCTTTTTAAGAGAAGCAAGTATGAGGACAGCAAAGAGTGGCTCTAAAAGACGAGAACGAATTAAGAAAGAGCAAAATGAAAAAAAAGTATCGGAAAGTAACGAAGCACTTGAAGAAGTTATTTGGACAATTTTAATTGGCTTCTAATAGATTTACGTTGAGTTTTTCTAAAATAACTTGTGCTGATATCACAGAATATCAAAATTTTTAATTTCATGTATAATTTTGTCGCGACTTTTTCTAACAAAACTAGGGCAATACAAAAATCTTTCCGACTATTATTTCAAAAGTGACATCAAACCAAACGTGTAAAAAAGTTTTTGACCTACAGAAAGCAAGGAAAAAAACTTTTTTAGGTTCTGTTCGTCCTACCTTTACTTCCGCTTATACCCGACCGTGGAATTGCCAAAGTAACAAAAGTTATTACAAAAATATAAGTAAAAACAGTTCTAAAATTGAAGCTATGCCTTTTTTTGAAGAATTCCTGCTGTTATTTAGCTCGGGACAATCCTTTTTTAAGTGCTTCTGGCTTCCGCAAAGGTTGCAAGACCCCCCTAAAAATATCTCCTCATAAACAGAATGACCGAAAGTTGCAAAATTTTGACTTTATCAGTTTATACGAGCACCATTGTTTGCCGCGAAATTAAAAACTTAAAAATATAATAAAGCTTTCAAAAAACAAAAAAACAAAAGAAAGAAAAAATACTAGCCGTCGGGGTATATTCCATTAGGATTTTTTTCACAGTCTCGAGAAATATGCCCCCGCCGTTGGCATACGAAACAAAAGGCGTAAGGATAACCTAAAAAACAAAAAGTTATTTCCAACACCTTCTTTCTAATATAAAAAGGCTACCAGCAACATTCTTCCGAGGGCACTTCATAACTGTATGCTCTGAAGAACCGCACTTAAAACAAATACCAGCACCCATTTTGACTTCATCGCGTTTTGGACATTCTGTAAACTGATGGCCAGGCTCTCGGCAAAGGAAACAACACTGCAAGTTTGTTAAATAAAGTACAACAAATATTTTCATCCATAAGTACACCAAGAAAAAAAGTGCTGAATACCCTTTTGTAATACCCTTGAAAAGACAATGTAGTGGTAGCTCTCTTAAAAAATAAACTAAAAATTTTTGGGTTCCTACCAAATAACTGAACTGTACGACGAACCCATCACCATTAGGAGATTTTCACTATTATAAAAAATTAAAAAGATTAATAATTATTTAATACACAAATACTTATTAAACATAAAAAACTGTGAGGAGTATTACCGCATTAGAAACCTTCTTGATCTGTCGTCCGATTCTTCTTCTCTCGCTAGTTTTCCAGTTCTTGATCATTTTGCCTGCATCGTAACGGGTAATCAAACCTTTTTTCACATAATCATTCACTAATTTTTTGTACTCTTCCACAGTACCACAAGCGTGATTTTTCAACCGCACAATTTTGTTGTGCGGATCATCTTCCTGAAGCAAATCACATAATACTTGATAATTTCATAAGGACAACCATAATAAAAAAACAGCTTTCTAAAAAACCTCGATTTATTCAACAATTTATTATAAGCAGTTTTAAATCCCAAACCCAAACCAATTATGTAGTAAAAAATAAAAGTAACATAAATGTCAAAGTAAAAAAGCTGTGCTTAAGTAATAAACAGGCAGGAGCCAACGAAATAAGACAAAGTACAGACAACAGTTTGATAACCAATTTGCCCAACTGAATCAGAGAAGTACAAAAATTACGGAATCTTTCTGCAAGTTATGGCTTTGCCGCTTCTTCCACTGACGAACAAGATATCCAGCTTGGAGAATCCCGAGTCCGCCCTCACGCGTTATATCATACACTCTTTTTTCAATTTCCTCTGCCGAAATGACGTCCATAGGACTCTTTCCGGAACTGGAAACTTCCTAAATTAACGTGCTTTAGACTAAAACAGTAAACTATTAAAAAGAAATAGAAAAATTACAAAGTTTTCGATTAACTGAAAACTAAATAAAAAGAGAAATGAATAAATCCTGAAACTCCAATTTTTCAAAACCACAATGACTTTATGTTTCTTCTACTCAACAAACTTTTGTATTGTAGATAAACCGTCCCAAATTCGTTGTAACACTTCAAAATCGCATAATCTCACAAAATATAATAAAATATTTCCTCTGGTACTCCGTTTCTTCAAAACAAGAAACAGTCTACTTCCAACAATCCACAAACTTCCTGGTCAAAAATTTTAGCGGACTCTTGCTTAAAAATGTTGTTTTTCCCAAAACTAACAGACCTGCACCCCCCCCCCC